TCAGCAATTAGCAGCGAACCCTAGATTACTCGAGGGACTGTAGACAGAATTACCGAGAGCCTCATATTTTTGCAACTAATTACCAAAAACTTCAGTAACAGCAAGATGCCATTTAAGTGCACAAATAATATCTTCTTTGAACGGGTATGGGTATTGATTTCAAATCTGATATTTCAAGATTATTTCTCCAAGGCCCAAGACAAACAGGACTATGCTTCTTAAAGCTGCCAAGAATTGCAATTGGTTATAAGATATCTTCATAGCTGAGTTTCTGAAAAGACTGAAGAAACTTGTGGATACTCGCCTATTCGCTTCGTTTTGAATGGTAAAGTATTAAGTTCTTTTTTTAATTGCATTATTTATATCAGTATTTTTTCCTCTAATTCGTCTTTATTTTATTTTTTTCCTCTCAAAATGAAACTAAATGTTGTATAAGACTTTCCAGTTACAGAAGTAATAATTATTTAGACTCTTTGATACATTTTTAAGGTTTAAAACTTTAGTCTTCCTCAGATACACAAAATTTTTTGGGTGGAATACGACTTTTTCATTTTGTGCGTTGTACGTGATTAGATTGCATATTTTTACAAATTGTGACTTCATGACGACTGTCTTAAAGTTGTGATAACTATCCAACTTCGCACTTATGCTTTTGTAAATATGGAGATGCAAGATCCATCCTAAAGCAGACGTTTTGAAAGAAACTTCAGCGCTATCTTCGGTCTTTTTATATGATAGACTAAAGAATTCTACCTGGGTAGCTAGATGATTGTGATAAAATATATTTTCGGGCTAAACGGAATAGGTTAAAAAAAACCGAAATTCGACAGGAAAGAAGGCATAAATGTAAATTTGAATTCTTCACATTTGCAGAGCTACGGTTACAATACCTGACGTTCAACCAGTAAAGCACATTTCGTCAACGTGAGATCATCAAACAGCTACGAATGCGATACGCTGTGGTTCAACACTAGTTGTTCGGAATTAAGGAGGTAGTGCATAGTACTGTTGAAACTGAAGAAGGTGCTTAGGATGCAGTCGAAGAATTAGTACGGAAAAAAAATGAAAGTTGGATGCCTTAAAAAAAAAGCAAGGTTCCAGATTAGGAAACACGAACTGCAAAAGCGCTAGCCATAGTTTATACTTCTTGCCGCAAATTTCTCAACGAATTTTGAGAGTCCTATAGGACGAGTTAGTTGCAGAAGCTGGCAGTCTACCCGGTTGCTTATACTACCTTTCAGATGTCAATCTATCTCATTTTTCTTACTGCTGACCTAAAAATCGTCTTGTGCATAACTGTGAATTAATGTCATACTATAAACTTATTCTGCACTGTACCGTCAAATTTTTTTTCCTTTGCCCTCTGATCTGCACAGTACAATGGCAGTTTTTTTTTGGGGGGGGCTGGTAGCTTTTTCGAATTGTCCGTCTGTAGCAGAATCTTATCTGAAGGCCGTTGAAAGCATCAGTTATCAGGACGTGTTATGGTTTTCCTTTTTTTTTTTTTTTTTTTTTGCAACTTCCTTGCAGAAGAAAATTGAAGATCTGATCACTTTGATGGTACGTTAAATTGTGTACAGGTAACCTACCTGAAACACTCAAATAAGATCGTCCCATGATAGACAATTTGTTTCTAGATAATGGAAACTAAAATAACCTCCACTGTCCGAATTACGCTGATGGAGCCATCGCACCAAATTTATTGGCGAGTTCATTCATCACCTCACTGTCAAGTGGTCCGTCGCTTAAATATGAAGTGGGTAGCTGCAACTTATTCGACGGCTTATGAGATCGCTGAGCTGAACTTAATAGCGAATTTGGCGTCTTGCCATAAAGACAATTGCCATACAACAATTTTGAGTGATATCACTACCGAATTTTAGTATCTGTTGGCGGCAAATGCTGCAAACTAAAATCTTTTTTTCTACTCTTTGCAGATTTTTGATTTGACTTCTAATCGGTGGCAAAAAAATGGTGTTTTTGTAATCAACTGTATAAATTTCGGCTTTTTTTTTTTGGTTTTTTCTTGACTTGAGCAAAAACAGAAGTAGTTTATGTTCAAGTAGGTCAAACTTTGATTTTGATTTACGCTAAAATATTAATCTTAGATATTGGTGCAGACTAAAAACTAAAGCTTTGTTAATGTAAGTTGTGATGTGCGAATCTTTCTATGGTGTCACTTCTGTGCTTCACTCCTTAATCTTTTGACAAATTTATTTAGATAAATAATAAAAAGTTTTAAAGACATTTCGACGGCTTTAGAGACTGAAAAAAAAAGACGATTTTTGGTCGATTAAGGGGTTTCTTCGTTCAGGAAGGAAATTTCTAAAAAATTTCATTTGACTGGAAACTAAAATATTTGCATTTGCATAACTGTAATAACAAATAATAAAATATTCGGGGTATTTATTCTTGTACATTTGTTATGTAATTACGTTTGTTTAGGGTTTTCTGCAGTAATGAAGACGACATATGTTTGATTTGAAGCAATCAGGACTTCTTGACCTGATGTTTCTTGTTTAATGGAATTGGCTGATATCCACAATTATTTTTTTGAACATCACGTTGCTCTTAATAATGACTGGTTGACCGATGCGGTGTCATTTCTTCATTCACGGCAGGTTAAACTGTTTAAAATTGAAGTATGATCTAAAGCAGTTATTAGGGTTGTCGTTGAACTCTCTACATTTCTCTCGCAATTTGAATTTTTTATTTGTGGGTGAGAGTGTAGAATTTTTAGAGATCTAAATGACTTTGTGCTTTTGAATGGACCAGAGATTTCACTGTTTTATGTTAAAATTGATGGAGAAGGTGGAGCTCTGAGGAGGTTGTACTCTACGGTTTCCTTCACTTTTGAAGCTAGTACTACAGGAGATTGAGCATTGTTGAAAACTAGTTCATGAAAGAAAAATCTCTTTTGCAGCTCGCAACTTTCTTTTAACGTTGATGATGGTACAATTTTTGAGTTAATAACAGCTTTTATTCGCCTGCTTGAATTTTTATTACCTCACCTGTGCTTCTGTTGATAGGAGCAGTGACTTGGGAAAAGTCGCCTAATATTGGGAAGTGTTGTTGTTCGTCGGTTAACTTATTTTTCTCTTCCTTTCCAGTCTTTAAAATTTCTTTAATAAATCCTTGAAGATATTTTCTGAGTTTTCTTTTAATTCAGAAGGTGAATAATGTTTCATCTCTCTAAATGGATTTACAATCCTAGTTTTTGTTTTTCCTTTTTTGCTTGAAGAACAGTGACAAAAGATAGTAAGAAAACGCATAAATTTTTGGGCATTTGACTTTGGTCCTCGGTTTAAGACATATATTTCTGGAATTATCATTTGTCAAGATAAAGAACTATTTTAAGCGTTAAGGAAATGTGCTTAACAGTACATAATAAAATTTTTGTAGGCAGATTTGAATCCCGAGGAGTTAATTGCAGCAGTTTATGAACAGTGGCTTTTCTCGGATTTGAAAGATTCGTCACTTCCCAGCTTACAGCATCTTCTTCCTGACCAATCCCAAAAGTGGATTGATTTCCATGATGGAATGGTTTTTCAAGTTCTGTTCACAATTTTTATTTTGAATAATAAAAGAGTAAAACGCTATTTTAATTTTACCTTTATATTTTTCAAAATATTTTGAACTTTTGTTTTACGTTTGGAGATTCTCAAATGATTTCTTGCATTGCTTGCTCTTTCAGATACCTATAGAAGAACTTTCTTTTGTTGCTAGGAAGATTAAGACTAAAAAATCATCTGTAGTAATTTCCAGATTGAGTCGCTTGTTGACATCAGCAAACCATTTCACTCTCAATATAAAGCGCTGACATACGAGTTTGAAGACAACACTGGCTTTTCAACTAGCGAGCCGGAATCAGAAAAGTGTTATAATGGAAAGGTACAGTCATCGTGGGACTATTTTTTATTTATTTTACTGGGTCGTTTAAATCTTACTTTTTTAACAGATCTGACTGCTAAGCAGTATGGCATCTTTGTGTAGTTTTTAAAGTTCTGATTATGGTTGTCCAAGTGTCATTAATTAACAGATTCATTCATTCAGATATTTAACTGCAGAGTAACTTCTCTATTATTTTCTTTTGCAAATAGTTATCAAAAAAGTAGATTTAGCTTTTAAAAATTACTGACTGATATTTTATAATTGGATTCCTCACTTTTCTTTGTCTTCATTTTTTCAACAACCTGTGTTGCTATATTCTTTCTTCATCTAATTACTTATTACTACAGATTGGTATCACTGTTTTTACAGTTGAATTTCAGAATGTTAAACGTGTTATGGTGCTAAGCTTAAGCGATGGCTTTACGTCATTAAAAGGCGTGGAATATAGGGAAATGCCAGCTCTATCGTTATTAACGAGTCCTGGTTGTAAAGTAATTGAACTTTCTTTTAATATCATTGAAGAACGGTAATTCTAAGCATGCTGTTTGTGAAAGAAAACTATGTTAAACGTGACTTTAGTTATTTAATGTTGTTCTCAGCTTCACGTTCAACTTTTAAAATGTTGGTTTTTCAAACAACCTCTTACTCAACAATGATTACTTATTACTGGTTGGTGTTTTATTGGTTGTAATCTGTCACTTCAAGGTGTTGTTGCGCGGTAGAATAGGCTATCGTCGTGATACTCTTCTTTTAACTGGTAAAAACTGTGCCTTTCTTGGAGGAGAAAACGAGAATTTTTTCCGAACAGGTCGGCCAGTTAATGTAATGGGTGCAGCTCTAGAAGGAAAGAAAAGTGAAAGCAGTGATAGACGACCTAAAATAAGGTACATAAGGATTTCAATAACAATATTTTTGCATCAGTTTTGCTGCGTAGAAGGTTTCTTTTTTCCCTTTTGTGAAACAATGACCGTCTTAGTACAACTATTCTTTTTAAACTAACGCAGTAATATTCTTCCAAATTTAATGCTCTTTTTATTTTTTTGGAAATGTGTTTTATTTTTGGTCTTTTTAGACGGATATATGTGTTTAAGCTCAATTTTTTAGATTAGCAGCTTTATGTTATACTAATTACTTGGGTTAATAGTGTAGATAATTAAAGTTTAAGCGTCAATAAGCGCCGACATTCGTCACCTGTAACTGTGCAGGAAAAAATTGAAATCGTTGGAGGACCTAGAAGTCGAGCTATGACTAAAGTTAATGGTCATATTGCATCTGCAAGTGAGTGATTACTTTTTATTAAAACTTTTTAAGATAAAGATAAGGATTTTTTGTCAATTTCTAGCACACTTCTTTTTGTTTTGTTAAAGTATTAACGAGTAGTTGGATCAAAACTGGTTTTGACCTTCGACTGATTGCTAGACTAGTTAATGGGAAATCCTATAGTGAAAAATACATGAGCGGTTTAGTTTTTTATAACTGCTTTTCAGATGCTTCGACGTCTCAGGACATGCCACAGAATTCAAATGAAGACTCGAGAACTGAAAGCAGTTCTACTTCTGAAGTCTCGATTCAGCGAAAAAGGCATCTAATTTATTGCTTTTAATTAGTATATTTGCCGGAAATTTTTTGAGTTTGGGTTCAAGTTTAATTCCAGGAAAACACGGAGTGTCAGTAGTACTGGAAGAGTAGCAAAATCTGGTTTGATTGAAGATATTGTCGATTTGAACCCTTCAAAGTAACTTTTAAATTTTTTTATTATGCTTGCTGCACTTACAGTTTTCTCTGTTTTGTCATCATAACATTAATTAAGTTTTTGTTTTATATTTGCTTGTTTAATTTTAGAGTAAAGTGTTAGATACTGTGGTGCGAAATGATCACTTGATAAATCTGTTTTTTTAAGAGGGTCATAAAAAACTTCTTAAATGAAATTATTTGCAGTCTATCACCGGGAAATCTATCTACTTCCGAAAATTCTGATCGCAAGAAGTCGCTTTCTTCTACGGTATTTACATTCTTTTTTTACTGGGACTGTGAAAATAAAACTCGTGATTTTAAATTTTATTTTTAAAAAACTGTGATTCAATTATAAAGAAATCAGCTTAATACAAATGATTATTGATCATTATTTAAGGATGCTTATAGCTTCAGCTTTTCTATTTTTGTTCGTGTTATCCCATTCTGTATTTTTTAGCTGGCTAGTTTTTTAAGTGATTAGTCAAATCGTTTTCACTGTGAGACGACTTATAAATGTTTTTTTACAATTGAGTTTGTCCTTTTTTTTAATTCGGAAGCTGAAGCATAATTCTTTCAATTTCCATTATTTTTGAATCAAGGTTTCTGCAAAAGAAGATCAGGCAAAGCCGCTTATTACTAACTGTTTATCGCACCCAAACAAATCTTCTAATTCAATTGCTGCTAGTCAGACTGGAATTCCTGTTCGAGCAAAATTTATAAAGAAGTGAATTTTTTAGAATTTTTCTAATTTTTATCTTTTGACAGGTTTAATTTAGCTTCCTTTTTAAAAAAAGAAAATTCTATATTTTTGATGAAAATGTAGGTTTTTTTAATATTTAAATTATATTTTATAGGGAAATAAAGGAAGAAGAGGATGAGGATTTGTATATAATTGAGGAGTTGCCTGTAACTAGTTCAAGGAATACCAGCAGTCTTATCGGTAATCCTTTCGACTGATTTAACTGTAAATCTTTATGTGACTCACGTTATTTTTGAGTGAATTAAAATATTTTCTGTAGATCGCCAGCTTTCATAGATTAGTTGTTTTTTAGGGAACCAAGAACTTTTGAATTGTGACCATGGTCAGGGATTAATTTCCAGCGCAAGTTTAAACCCGTTAGTGGTGAAATTTCTGCAATTGGAGATTGTTTCTATTGCAGACGCATTAAAAGCTTCTCGTTTTTGTGTCGGTTCTAAAAAGCGAAGAGTTGCGGTATTTACTTGGTTATTTTTTTTTGATTTATATTGATGTTCATCTTGTCAGTTCTATGCATTAATTATTTAAACAAGTTTTTGCACCTCTTCTTTATTTATTTTTTTTAGGCAATAGTGAGCACTATCGTTGAACCACTGCGCATTGTTGATGATATGTGGACAATGACTGTTTGTCTAATGGATGAAACTTCTAGGGGGCTAAATGCCATAATCGCTCATTCCGTGCTTCTTGACCTTATCGGTCTAACTCCAGATGAGGCAAAAGTAAGCTTGGGCGGGAGATTGATATTTTCATACAACACCTTTTAAGTTGTTTAATTGCTCAGGCTTTTATCGAGGTAAGGGAACAGTAGAAATATTCACATTTTTTTTTAAGCGACCTTTCTTGTCGCTAGCGTTTAAGGTGAGAAAATGAGAAGAAAGTGGTGTTAAAAGCTGTTGGAATAATGCTGTCTTATTAAGTGTTAGCTGATTGTTTTCGAAATGTTCCTTTTTCATCGGAATGAGCAAATTTGGTTTTTATTCCATTAGATGTGCTGTAAAATAATGAAAAGTAACACACCTTTCAGTGATACTTTGAAATATTTTGGTTAGTTCAAAATTAATTTTTTGCTGTTATTGCGCTGTATCTTCATAAAACTGGACGACTTTAAGACCATCCGCGCTAGTAACGACAAGGCGAGGAGGCGAGAAGGGACTGCCCGGTTAAAATCTGTAAGGGAGTCGATTGAAAGGCTCGATCTGGTTTGGGAAATAGAATTTTATGCTGCCGGGAAGTCAACGCCAGTCGTAAGAAACATGCAGACTTTGTCACAGTCACTACAGTTGGTTGACTGAAAAAAAAAAAGGATTAGATATTACTCGTATTCTAGATTCTAGGTTTGCTTTGACTACCTTGTAAAGGAACCCTGAAAAATCATTCCTCATAAGTGGATTTTTTGTCTTTTATGTTATCGTAATACTAGCTTTTATGTAATGGCCTGTGAATGTACTTTACCGTCTCTTGCTCATAGGTGATTGTTCTGATTAAACGGGTATTACTGAAGAACAGTTGTTGCTACGTTTTTTTTTCTCAAAATTTTTGTTATGAAGTTTTTAACGCACCGAGTGCAAAGTTTCTTGGATGCTTTTTGTTATACGCTGGTAAACTTAAAATGTTTCTATAATATTTGTTTACAGTTGTGGATTTCAGGTGCTTTACTTTAAAAGCTCAAACTTTGTGCCTTGTTTATACGATTGTATTTTTGCAAAAACAGCTGTTCTTTTGTTGAATAATAGTTTGGTTATCGTATTCCTGCTACTTTTTTCTACTTTTAAAGTTTAACATTATTCAAAAATCTAGTCTTAGTAAAATGGATTTATTAAGTTTATTTGGTCGCGGAAAAGCACCTTTTAGAAACATAAAGTGTTACAATCTGTTTAGTTGTGCGCCTTTTTTGGATGAATTGACTGAAAAGGAAGCCAGTATTTGCAGAGGTTGGGCAATGTCCTTCTGTAACTAAGGTTTAGCTTTTACTTCGGCACTAGGTCTTGCTCCTTCTGTGGTGATCACTTAATACTTGTTTTGAAATAAAGCTTTATGGTCATAATTTAGTTTTTTGATGAGCAAGCAAGAAAGGACTTGTAGTAGCTTGCAGGTGCATAGCTTGAAACTGCAGTATCGCGGTTAAGTTGCGATGGAAGATCGACAGATTTATTAGAAAAAGTTACAGGAGTGAGCTGCTTCACAGGATACTGTACATTTTCAATTTGATTTCTACGTTTTTGATACTGGACAGCTAGCCGTCGATTGCGAACTAGTAAAGGCTTAGTTTGAGAGGTGGTTTGGTCAACGGCGGTTGAGTAGGGCTGTAATGTAAAGAACAGAGTTTATGCAGAGAATGCCTATACACGAGAGACGGCAATTCTGACCAGTAGAAGTTTACGTAACAGAGTTTTTTTCATTGAACGCTGTTTATTGTTTACTTGTAGGAGTGCAAACAAGATTTGAAAACCCTAAAACTAATCTGAAGCAGTGTTCGAGCAACACATGTCAAACTTAAAAAGCAATATTTTTATGAATATTTCTTTCTTGCAGCATATTTTAGCTATAAGACGCAACTGTGTAGAGGCGAAGCGTAAATGGCATGTTGATGATTTTATCCTGCAACCACTTTTTCTCCTCCCAGTTATTGAAGGCTAAAAAATTGCTTTTTTGCCTGAAAAATGATTATGGTTCGTTAAAGACCTGTCTGTACACATCGTTTTTTTTTTTTTACTGATTTTAGTAGTTTCACTTAGCCGTTTTGCCCTCCAAATATGGCTATTTAAAATTACTCCCTTCCCTATGTTAAAAGAAAATTTTTAAATATAAATCTTTTTATACTGAAAAATTAATTTTTTAAGAGATAATTGCTTCAGATTGCTGAAAGCTGAAATCTTTATGAATATTGTAAATGAAATATTAATTCGCTAAATATAAGGAGTAAAAGCTGAAAAAATGTAGTTTTTTTCTTTATTTAATTCTGCTGGAGAAGACAATGGTTTTTTAATGCGATCAGTTTTAGGGTAAATTCTGTCTGTTTGCACCTTTAATTATATTCTTTAATTAACAATCTAGCCGACGACCAAATTGTTAGATTAGGCAAGATTCGAGAAGAGATTCAAATTTTAATTGAGGAGATATGCAACTTACTCTGGAATGATTGCAGCGATAAAGCACAAAATCAAAGCAGTAACTGTATTGCCTAATAGGAAAGTATAAGTTGGAGGGACTGTTTAGGTTAACTGAAGCAACATTTGTTACGTACAGCCGGTAACGCTGAGAAACTGGACCAAACCTGCAGTGATTGTAAAGCCATCGTTGTAGCATTAAAAAACGTGTCTGGGAATTACAGAAGGGTTTTGTTGAATTGGTGTAAAAAACAAAAAGCTAGTAATTTCAGATTTTTCAATTCTGTGGTTTGCATATTCTGTTAAATTTAATTAATAATATCAGTTTTCAGAAGTAACTGAATTGATGAATGAACGTTACTCACTGCCAGGGTGAACATTAATTATAATAGGCAACTGTTGATTTTGTATTACACAACTATATTCCAAAATTTTTTATCTTCTGCGCGTTTATTAGGTCTTTAGAAAAAAATTAATAGAAAAATTCTGGTTTTAATATTCAGATAAACTTCGTAAGTGTATAAAAAAGCTTATTGTTTTGTTAATTAGTTGTACACATAATTACAAATTTCATTATAGTCTATCAAACAAATATTTCTTGTGATTTGCTGAGAATATAAGTTGAGCAAATTTGAAATTATAGTATTTATAGTTGGCTATAATTTTACTTTGCTTAAAACTTTTGTTTCAGTTTGTATAAAGTTAAACTAAATATTTTTTTAAACTATTAATAGGGATGACTTTTAGCGTTGTTCAACTAAAAATAAACACAATTATATAATTCCTATGGTATATAATCGTACTTTTTGCACATAATTATATTACCTTACTGCTTACTATGCAGGCTAATCAGAAAGAATTTTTCAAAAATTATCAATGACTGATGGCAAATAAACGTGTTGTACATTTTGCAATAATTACTTGTTAACAAGGCAATTTGTGTGATGTTTTGGAACAGTGTCATTGATTAGGATGGATAAGAAAACTTTACTGACGTGTACTTTGGAAGCTCCAATGTTGCTTGAAAAATTGCCGGTGGTTTAGTTTGCTCAACAATCATTTATGCACATCTGTAGGGGGACGAAGTGGTGATCAATTTGAACCAGTCATTTGCTCATTATTTAAACGTCAATTTTCTGACGACAATTGGTGCCATTTTTTGAGTTAAAAAAAAAAAGTTGCGTGGAAATTTATATAGAAATATCAAAATAGTTGGTTGATCGATTTAACTGAAGAGTGATTCTTCGGGATCAAAATGACTGCATCATCGAACTTGCACTGACATTTCATGGGCAGCTTTATGTTGTTTGACGTAGTTGCATTCATAAAAACCATTGTAACCTTGGGTAGGCAAAATTTTTTATTTTTTCTCCTAAACAAATTGCTTGCCGATTCTATAGCAGAATTCTGTCCTCCACCCTGGTACAGCATTGCTAATTGCACTTTGCATAGAGTTTAGCATCAGATTTTGGAAGCATCATAGACATTGAGAATAAGCTGTCGTTTGAATGTTTGGTGATCTTTGTGGTTAGTGCAGCTGATTAGAATTGTGCTTTTTATTAGTGTTATTTTAGCAGGAAGAATATTGTTAAAGTTACTGAAAAGGTTAGCAGCAGTATAATTTTTTTTTTTTTTCAACTACACGCAAAAGCAAAAACAAATTTACTGCAGTTTTTAGTTGTTGTAAAAAAAAAGAAAGGTCTAATTTATTGATGTTTATTGTTTTCATTTGATAAGCAACAGTTTTTGATATTAAAAGCTTTGTTACGGTAGTATTAAATGTATATATTAAAAAAAAAAAAAGAAAGAAAAAAATGGAAGAGCAAAAAAAAAAAAAAATAGGAAGATTTTCACCGGTGTAATGATTGAAAATTGTATTTACAACTTAATATTGTTTCATTAAAGTGTAATCCTATAAAAAAAAAAAA